GATCCAAGAACCGTCCCTTGGGGTCTGGATCGGGTCCCCTTTCCTGTAACACAGCTGCAGAACCTGAAGAGGGTCAGACTTGGATCCTAAGATGGGGAGTCGGGGAATGTAATAAGGGCAGCCACCAGGTCCCAGGGATCTGGGCTCATGGGGGTCTCCTGGTTCAGGAGGCGCCTGCTGAAGATGGGTTCCTTCAATGTCAGGGAGGGGAATGACCCACTTACACGATGCGGAGAGAGTCATATTCAAGACAGAACATGCACACACAGGAGTAGGACTGGGGGGTGTTCCTGGCCACAACAGTGAAGTTGAGACCGCTGGAATCAGGACTGCGTTCAAATCCTGACTCTGACGATTTTGAGGGTGGCCTTGGGGCAAGTCACCTCCCTAATATGCAGTTCCCTTGTCTGCAAAATGGGAACAGATTTGTCCTCATTTTGCATGTTTGCTTATTACATTTAAGTATTTTCCTAATCTTCATTTCACCCTCATGAGCGTTGTCAGACTTAGCAAATCATCATACAGATTATTTACCTTTGAAGACAAAGAGTGAATAAGGTTTTAGTTTAAGCCTCGTGCATTATTTGGGACATACACTGAGAGTCCGAAACTCTCACCTCACTGAATGTCCTGTGTTTTCTCTGGGAACCCTACTCCTCACCAATGTGGTGATTTTGGGATATATCCCCTCTCTCAGCTTTGGTTTCTATTTCTGGAAAATTTGGAAGTTGCGGGGTAGAATAAATGATTTTTAAGATGCTGTGACTTTCTGAGAGTCCTTCACAGGTTACTTGAACCCATTCTCTCACCAAGCCCCACCCCAACTCTAGTCTGCATGCCTCAGTTTCCCCTCTCAGTCCTTAGGAATACTATTTTTTTTTTTTTGAGACGGCGTCTCTCTCTGTTACCCAGGCTGGAGTGCAGTGTCACAATCTTGGCTCACTGCAACCTCTGCTTCGCAGCCAATTCTCCTGTCTCAGCATCCCTAGCAGCTGGGATTACAGACGTGCGTCACTATGCCTGGCTAATTTTTGTATTTTTAGTACAGACAGGGTTTCAGCATGTTGCCAGACTGGTCTCGAACTTCTGGCCTCAAGTGATCTACCCACCTCAGCCTCCCTAAGTGCTGGGATTACAGGTTTGACCCACCCCACCCAGCTCAAAGAAAAGAGAACACGATTTTCTAATTTTGGGTCTGTTAATTTATGCAGCAATGGCGCCACCTGGTGGCTGCATGGAGAAGTGCCCTGAGGGTAAACCGCCCACAGCAGGGGTTGGAAAAACTCAAGGGAATCTGACAGAAGATGACCATGTCTCTCTGGGGAAAAAACGGTTCATTAAACTGTAGCAACCCCAGTATCCACCCCTCCTTCACCAGGATTTCATGGTGATATTAGGAGCTGTCTACGAAGAGGCAGGAAAAGTGCACAGGGAAAGTGACACGGTGCATTATTATTTATTTTTTTTGAGGTGGAGTCTTGCTCTGTCAGGCTGGAGTGCAATGGTGTGATCCCGTGTAACTGCAACTTACGCATCCTGGGTTCAAGCGATTCTCCTGCCTCAGCCTCCTTAGTAGCTAGGATTACAGGCACCTGCCACACCATGCGTGGCTAATTTTTGTATTTTCGGTAGTGATGAGGTTTTGCCATGTTGGCCAGGCTGGTCTCGAACTCCTGACCTCAAGTGATCCACCTGCCTCAGCCTCCTAAAGTGCTGAAATTACAGGCATGAGCCACCGCACATGGCCTAGTCTCTGATTTTTAGCAACGATGGTGGCAACCTGATCAATTGCCCTGAATTTTCCCATGTTCTTCCTCGCTCCTTTCTTTCTTCCTAATGATAATATGTATGCACTGCACACCAAGCACTCTCTGAGTGCCTTCGATTGTACTTGCTAAGCACCTATTGTTTGCAAGGCCCTGCAATACAAGGTGAAGGCATTAGAAAACGTCCTGGCCCCTGGTCCTGGCAAAAACAATCATATGCATGCGCATTTCATTTTTTTTCAAGTATTCAATTATAATCAAAATGCCACTAACATTTTTCACAAGGCCGGGCACAGTGGCTCACACCTGTAATCTCAGCACTTTGGGAGGCCTAGATGGGTGGATCGTTTGAGGTCAGGTGTTGGAGACCAGCCTGGCCAACTTGTTGAAATCCGGTGTCTATTAAAATTCAAAAATAGCCAGACCCAGTGGCACACACCTGTAATCCCAGCTCCTCAGGAGGCTGAGGCTGGAGAACTGTTTGAACCCAGGAGGCGGAGGTTGCAGTGAACTGAGATTGCACCACTGCACTCCAGCCTGTGTGATGTAGCAAGACTGTCTCAATAAAGCAAAACATTTTTTTTACAATTTTTAGAAACAGGATCTTGCTCTGTCTCACAGCTGGAATTCAGTGGCGTGATCACAGCTCACTGTAACCTTGAACTCCTGGCCTCAAGCAGTTCTCCTGCCTCAGCCTCCCAAGTAGTTAGTGCTATAGGTGTGCACTACCAACACGCCCAGTTAATTAAAAAAAATTTTTTTTTGTACAGATAGGATCTCTCTGGCTGATATGTTACCCAGGCTAGCCTTGATCTCCTGGCCTCAAGTGACCCTCTCACCTCAGCCTCCATATGCCATTATACCTTAAATGTACCTAGCCAGGGCTCATGCCTGTGATCCCAGCACTTTGGGAAGCCAAGATAGGTGGATCACTTGAGGCCAGGAGCTTGAGAGCACCTGGCCAATGTAGTGAAACCTCATCTCTACTAAAACTACAAAAAATTAGCTGAATGTGGTAGTGCCTGTAATCTGAGCTACAAGGGAGGCTGAGGCATGAGAATTGCTTGAACCTGGGAGGCAGAGGTTGCAGTGAGCTGAGATCATGCCACTCCACCCGCCTGGCCAACAGAGACTCTGTCTCAAACAAACAAACAAACAAACATCTAGCCAGGGCTCTGGAAACCATGGCATACAGTATCTACATGGGAGAAAGAGATCCCACCACCTGTTTTTATATAGCCCATGAGCTGCACAATAATGTTTGTTGGTTTTATATTTTTAAATACTTGACAAAAATCAGGCTGGGCACAGTGGCTCACACCTGCAATCCCAGCACTTTGGGAGGCTGAGGCGGGTGGATCGCCTGAGTTCAGGAGTTGGAGACCAGCCTGGCTAACATGGCGAAACCCTATCTCTAATAAAATACAAAAATTAACCAGGCCTGGTGGCATGCACCTGTAATCCCAGGCTATAGTGTAGTGGCACAATCTAGGCTCACTGCAATCTCTGCCTCCTGTGTTCAAGCAATTCTCCTACCTCAGCCTCCCGAGTAGCTGGGAATACAGGTGTGCACCACCATGCCCACCTAATGTTTTTATAGTTTTAGTAGAGATGGAGTTTCACCATGTTGGCGAGGATGGTCTCGATCTCCTGACCTTGTGATCCGCCCACTTCAGCCACCCAAAGTGCTGGGATTACAGGCATGAGCCCCAAGGCTTTTTTCTTTTTTTTGAGACAGGGTCTCACTCTGTGCAGATGCAGACTGCGCTGAGCTCTGACTGTACTACTGCACCCAGGCTGGAATGCAGAGGTGACATCATGGCTCACTGCAGCCTCCACCTTCCTTGGATTCAAACAATCCTCCCCCCACCCAGCCTCCCGAGTAGCTGGCTACAAGAATGTGCCACCATGTCTGGCTTTTTGGTGTTTTTTGTAGAGACTGGGTCCCCCTATGTTATGCATGCTGGTCTCAAACTCCTGGCTGCAAGCAGTCTTCCTGCCTTAGCCTCCCAAAGTCCGGATATTACAGCCGTGAACCACAGTATTCAGCCTGTTTCATCCTTACAATGGAATTTTTTTTTTGAAGACAGGGTCTCACTCTGTCGTCCAGGCTTACTGCACGCAGATGCGATTGTGGCTCACTGCAGCCTCCACCTCTCAGGCTTAAGCAGTCCTCCTGCTTCAGCCTCTCAGTAGCTGCGATCACAGGTGCACCACCATGCAAGACAAACTTATTTTTTTGTAGAGATGGGCTTTCACCCTGTTGCCCGGGCGGGTCTCAAACAGCTGGGCTCAAGTGATCCTCCAGCCTCAGCCTCCCAAAGTGCTGGGATTACATATGAGAGCTGCCAAACCCAACCTGTTTTATTGCTTATAGTAGTCACCTGTATTAGAAGACATTCCATTGTGTTCAAGCCCCTGGCTGACCAAAAACTCAACGGCCATTCCTCTGAGCCTGTTTATAAAGAAGAAGCAGGAAGATCAGTGGTGAGGGGCAAGGGTGCCAGACAGGCCGATCCTCTATCATGCCCACAGAGAAACCCTTTTTTCTCCAGGGCCTGGGGAGCAGCCAGGTTCCACGAGTTAAATGCAGATCTAAACCATACCAAGCTGGGATTGCAGTACACTTTCCTCTTCTGAAGAGTAGCTAGGGATTCCAACTTGGTAAGAGGGAGACTGTGGCAGAGCCAGGCTAGACAAGGACTAATCACCTGAAAAAGACTGCCATCAAAGGACTTGGTGAGTGCTGGGTGCCGTGGCTCAAAACTGTAATCCCAGCATTTTGGGAGGCTGACTGAGTTGGGTGGATCACTGGAGGCCAGGAGTTCGAGTCCAGCCTGGGCAACATAACAAAACCCTGTCTATACTAAAAACACAAAAATTAGACAGGCATGCTATGCTTCTGTAATCCCAGCTACTTGGGAGGCTGAGGCAGGAGAATCTTTTTAACTGGGTAGGCAGAGGTTGAAGTGAGCTGAGATTATGCCACTGCCTTCCAGTCTGGGAGACAGAGTGAACCTGTGTCTCAAAAAAAGAAAAAGAAAATAGCCTTGGCAGAGTGGTTGGCCTGACAATGCCTTCCCTGGGTTTCTCCTGGGTAGGGCTCTGTCATGAGGAGGTGCTTTTGTTTCCCTGTTCATGGTCCACATCCAAGAAATTTCTTTTTCTGGGAGTTGGGTTGGGGACAGAACTGGAAACCTTCCTTTAGGTGATTTGTTGTTGTTGTTGTTGTTGTTTTTTGAGATGAAATCTCATTGTGTCACCTAGGCTGGAGTGCAGTGGCTCAATCTCAGCTCACTGCAACCTCCTCCCTTCCGGTCTCAAGCGATTCCCATGTCTCCGCCTCCTAAGTAGCTGAGATTACATGCATGTGCTACTGCACCGGCTAATTTTTGTATTTTTTATAGAGATGGGTTTTCAAACTCCTGACCTCAAGTGATCTGCCCATTTCGGCCTCCCAAAGTGCTGGAATTATAGGCATGAGCTACCATACCCAGCCCCTTCAGGTGGGTTTTGAGGCTTCACTACAATACTAATTTTCTGTTGCTTCTGCAACAAATTACCGCATGCTTAGTGGCTTGAAACAAAACAGATGTATGCCCTTACAGTTCTGAAGGCCAGAATTCTAAAGTCAGTCTTACTGACTCAAGGGGGAAGCAGGGTCAGTGCCTTTGGAGGCTCTGCAGGAGAATCCCTTTCCTGGCCCTGGAGATGGCCTGCAATCCTCAGTGTGTGCTGCCCTTCTTGAATGACTTAAGTTTCCTGCTTCCATTACTACGCCTCCCACCACTCTCCATGACCTGCTCTGCCCTTATAAGAATCCGGGTGAGTACACCAACCCAGCTGGGACAGGCTGGGATAATCTTCCCAGCCAAAGATTCTTAAGTTCATTATATCTGCAAAGCACCTTTTGCCATACCAGGTCATGTTCACTCGTTCTTGCGATTAGGATATGGGCACCTTGGGGGGTTACTATCAGCCTACTACAGCTAGGCTGCAAAACTATTACACCCTTTTGGTGTTTTAATGATTGAGAGAAAAAGGGTTGGGATTTTTTTGGGGAATGGGTTCCTCTTAAACATGTATCTTTAAACTCTGGGGTCCATCTTAATCTTGTTTTTTTTTTTTCTTTCTTTTTTTTTTTTAAATTACTTTTTTGATACGGAGGCTTGCTCTGTTTCCCAGGCTGGCAGCGGCAAGGTCTTGGCTCACTGCAATGTCTGCCACCCGGGCTCAGGCAATTCTCCCACCTCAGCCTCCTGAGTAGCTGGGACTACAGGTGCCTGCCACCACACCTGACTAAGTTTTGTATTCTCAGTAGAGAAGGGGGTGGTGGTGGGAGAATGGGGGTTTCTACTCTGTTTCCCTGAGCACAAAGCGATCTGGCTGCCTCTGCTCGCAAAGTGCTGGGATTACAGTCCTGCACCAGTGCACCTGGCTGCTGTAAAGTCTTATTTCCACACAGCTGAGACATGTTTTTGGAATTTTGCTAAAGGGCCCCTGGAGACCTCCTGATGGTGGTTTTCCTGTTGTTGTGTTTAATTTGATTGATCTTTTCTGCTTTCCAGAAATTAAAAGGCTAACATGAGGTAATAAACTTTAAAACTTCTCTTTTCATTTATTTATTTATTTTTTGAGAT